CCCGGGACTCCAGGATCATGACCTGGGCCGAAAGCAGTTGCTTAACCAACTGAGCCACCCAGGCTCCCAGAAAATTTTTTTCTTAAAGTTAAATACAAAGGTTCCTTTTCCCTTTTAAAAACAAAAGAACGTGATGTATTTTGAATCCTAAAATTTCTGGTTTTCTTTTCATTTTGTCTAGTAGATTCACTTATTCTCTAGTCAAGCACCACCTAAGTATAGGTTATGATGCTAAGTGCGGGGGATGTAACAAAGAATAAGGCGATTTCCTGAATAAATTTGAAGTCTGAGATACTCAAAATGATGCAGAGGGAATACTGGAAAGAGCTAGCTGGGCCTGGGGAAGTTGAAATTTGAGCTGGTACTGAAGGTTAAGTAGGAATTTGCTGGGAAGGATGGATGTGGAATAAAATATTCTGGGGAGAAGGGTCAGCAATGAATAAAATTAGAAGTTGGGAACTGTCCAGAAAGCATAGAGTATTGTTCATCAAGAGGTGCAGAGTGCACAGTGAAGCAGAAGGCAGGATGGGAAATCACATGGACAATTCCGCAGAGGTCCAGAAATGAAATTCAAGTTTATAATTTAGCCAGTAGAAAAAAGGGAATAAATACAGACTTTAAACTCTAGAAGGAACCTGTTTCAGTAGATAAGGGTGGCAGGGGAGCATGGACAGGAAGACCGCTAGATTGGAGGTACTGACATTAGTCATGAGGCTGGTGCAAAGGTTAATTAAAATTTGGCGATTAGAATGAAAGGGGGGCCAGATTCAAGGCATTTTTTTTAAAGATTTTATTTAATTATTTGAGAGAGAAAGAGCACGAGCGGGATAAGGTGGGCAGAGGAAGATGGAGAAGCAGACTCCCCGTTGAGCAGGGAGCCCGATGGGGGGCTCGATCCCAGGACCCTGGGATTGTGACGTGAGCCGAAGGCAACCCTTTCACCAACTGAGCCACCCAGGTGCCCCTCAAGGCATGTTTTAAAGTAAGACAGATAAACTCCCCATTGGAAGTAGGGTCCGATAGCAAAGGAAAAGCAGAGAAAAACTTAAAACGTTTCTAGCTTTTACAAATCATTTATAAAATAAACGTCATGGGGATGTAATGTGCAGCATGGTGACTATAGTTAATAATACTGCATTATATATTTGAAAGTTGCTAAGAGAGTAGATCTCCAAAGTTCTCATTACAAGAAAAAAAAAAAATCGTAACTGTGAGTGGTGATGGATGTTAATTAAGCTCCTTGTGGTGACCGCTTTGCATTATATACAAATATTGAATCATACTGTCTGCCCGAAGCTAATATAGTGTTATGTATCAATTATATCTCGATTAAAAAAAAAACTTTCCGGCTTTGAGTGAACAGAGATTACAGGAGATCGCAAGTACAAAAGGTACAGCAGTTCGGGTGGCGGGGGAGGGGAGAAGATGGAACCGAGGTCAGTTTTAGGCGTGCTCTGCAGCTAAGCCCCGACCCAGGTAGGCAGAAATTGCAGTCGGAAGTATAGGTCTAGAGCTTGGGAGAATAAGAGGTGTGGGAACATCAGCTTTGGGATAGTATGTTTGAAACTGTGGGAGCAAGTGAGACAATCTGGTTAGGGTATAAAAACAAAAAGAGGTCCACGGATGAAAGTGTGGCATCCTCAGGCAGGCAGAGAAGGCGAGACTTAGCAGAATGGTAGGAAACAGCGAGAGACCAGGGTAAGCAGGGTGAGAAAACGTGCTGCTGAAGGCAAGTGGAGGGACTGTAAAAAGCCGGGGATGGTCACCGTGTCCAGTGACAGGGGAAACAAGTCAGGGAGGGGCCGCTGTGGGAGCTCAGCCACAGGTGACCTTAAGAAGCAGGTGGACGCTGAGGAGTGAATGAGCAGAAAACAGTCTGAGAGCGACAGCAGACTCCTCTTCTGGTAGTTTGTTGGGAAGAGGCGGTGACAGCAGAAGCAAGAAAGGCCGACTATGGGTCAAGTACCATCAGGATAGAGATTTGAGAATTTCTGTCGAGTCAGAAGTCTGATTGGTAGTTTATTAACATAGCATATGACATTTACTTCATCCATTGGTCTGAAATTAGTAAGATTTTTATTTTTATTTTGGTGGCCTCAGCAGCTCCAGCAACTGAAAATGTCCAAAAAGCAGAGAATTGTGGACTCTTCCTTCCATTAAAGCAAACTAAAGAGCTCCAGGGTTTTCAGCATCTAGAAATTATTTAGGGTGAAAATTCTGTTTGTAAGGAGGCCACACCCCTCAGGCTTCATGTATGGGTTCTGGGCCTTACAACTCTGGCTGCACCTGCGGTCTTGCTTTACCTTTATGGTCATCCAGGGTCTGACCATGGCAACAGCCGGCAGGCCTACAGCATGAGTCAGGACAAAAGACACATGGCAAGCAGGCTTTCTTTCCCTCACTCCTGCTGGTTCTAGTACAGAGGCTTGTGTTCATTAGACATAGGTATGATTGGCATACCATTAACGTCCATTTCTGCAGGCCAGAAACTTCTTTCAAAGGCAAAGCAAGTTTAAGAGTTATTTTCGACCAAACAGCCTCATCAACTCAGCTAGTTCTCTTGATTTCTCTATGAAATCTGCACAAAAACACCGTATTATCAGTAGTGGCAAGGGGTATTATCTGCAGAGAATCCTAGCAGGGTGAGCCCACATAAAATCTCAAGATTTACTGCACTGGTGTAATTTTTACGCAGGGTGTGACTTTCTTGAGATGTATCATTAGAGATGGAGATTTCATATCTAATACGCAGGGCAGAACAACACTTTAAGACTTTAGAGACTGCTTATAACATCCCATGTGGATTTGAGATTTTGACCGGTCCATAAACATGGAAAAAAAAATATACAGAACAAGACAATTAGTAAGTATCTGAAATAGTGTTTTCACCTAGAGAGATATAAGCACTTTAAAAAAAAAAGATTTTATTTTTTAAAATTTTTATTTATTTGAGAGAGAGGGAGAGCACAGAGGGAGAATGAGAGGGAGAAGCAGACTCCCCACTGAGCAGAGCCCAATGCGGGGCTCGATCCCAGGACCCTGAGATCATGTCCTGAGCTGAAACCAAGAGTTGGGATGCTTAACTGACTGAACCATCCAGGTGCCCTTAAACACTTTTTTTAAGTCAAATGTCACTTTATTTCTTCAACATGTTTTAGAAATCTTCAAACAGTATATGGTCTTCTTTTTAGTTTCTTTAAAAAGATTTTAAGTAATCTCTACATCCAACATGGAGTCCAAACCCACAACCCCAAGATCCAGAGTCACATGCTCCACCAATGGAACCAGCCAGTCGCCCCAGTATATGATCTTCTCACTTCAAATTTGTTGCTTAATTTCTTAATGTTCTGTGAACTTTTTTTTTAAAAGATTTTATTTTTAAGCAATCTACACCCAACATGGGGCCCGGACTCACAACCCCAAGTTGTGAGCCACCAGGCACGGCTTTTAATGTTCTATGAACTTGAAGGAGGTTGTGAGATCACAGAATATTTTATGAATTTTTTGGAAGACTTCTTTTATCAGATTCTCTCACTATCTTAGTATGTCTATCTTTTAGAGAAAAGAAGGTCTGGTCTGAAGGCAGGCACCTCATACAACTCTGTATTTTAGGCAAGAAAGCACTGAAAAATCCTTTCCTGTTCTTGTATGCTTAGGTCCTGGAGCAAAAGCTTGAATCTTAATTTTGTCTATGCTAGACTAAGAATACTGCTACAGGGTAATATATAAGTCAGTGGTTTCAGTGTTTATTCCTATATGGATATGTGAAACAAAACTGCAGTTTAGAAATAATCTGGCACATTGTTAGGCACCACTACTAACTCCTTAATACGTGGAAAAACCAGGTACTTGAGCATGAAATGTATTTTGTATTTTCCATGGAATTGTATATCCTTGCCTTTAACATAAAACTAAAATGAATTTTATGGGGCACCTGGCTGGCTCAGTTGGAGAAGCATGCAACTCTTGATCTGGGGGTTGTGAGCTCCAGCCCCATGCTAGGTGTAGGGATTACTTGTGAATTAAAAAAAACGAAACCAAAAACAAATTTTGTTTTTAATCATCAGTATAAACATTTCTTCAATTTCTTACACTTACAGCCTCTTAATTTCAATATATATATATTTCTATATATCTATGTGTGTCTATTTACAATGTTATCCACGGTTATTTATAGTAACTTTGGTCTAATTAGTGGGTGTTAAGGTCCTAACCACCTGATGGTGACAAGAGCAGAAAGCAGGGTTAGGTCCTTACAAAATGTGTTTGATTCTTGTTCACTCTTGCTAATGAGTCTGAAAATGCTTGATTTTGATCAGAAACTTGAAAATGACAATGGCAACTCGAGTTTCTGAGCGTATCTTAAATGACATAAAAATTACCAGTGACAAAGAAAAAAAGCTCTTATTACACTGAATAGTGTTAATTTGAAGATATTGCAAATTTCCATGAAGGATAACCTACAAGTGATATGTTCGACGTAGAAACTGGTACAAATTTTGGTTAGTTTGTTAAGAAACAAAATGTTCTAAAAAATGTTACGAACATTACTTTCATTAGAAAAGTGAAGAGAATTTTTAAAGTTGTTTGAGGTGCTGTAATATGTCAAGTGATATTCCCAACTGTTTTACTAAACCGGCTGTCTGTTCTAAAATCCAAGTGAGGCTTGGGTTTGCAGAATGTGCATGCTCCTGTATTCTACAACATTCTAAAGATGAACAATCTGCCTCACTAAGACTCTTGCTACAGTTTTCGTGAAGCTCAGCATTGTTTTCACAGAGTCTTTCATCTTTAGTTTCATCCATCTTTTTCTCAGCTGGAGCTACATGACAAAGGTCCATATCCTGAATAGAGTCCAACAAATCTACAACATGGGGCTGAGAAGTGATTGATTTGAGATGTTTGAGCACATACTCTTCACACTGGCCAACTGCATCCAGAAGATTATTTATTTTACTGATCAGAGCCGAACCATTATCATGAAGGTGACACCACGACAGCAAAGCACTGAATGAAAATATAAACAAGCGTTAAATAGGAAAAAAAATTAAACAAAGGCTTTTCAAATTTTTGATGCTAATCCTACATGTTTCTTTTCCAGATAACACCATGCAAAAATGAATCAATAATAATGTAAGTCAAAATCAGGGAAAGTAATGATGCTAAAATGGATTTTAAAATATACAAAGATATTATCTTTTGATAAAAATTAGACTGGAAGTAATCTTATAAACTGCTTATAATTCCTAACACCTCCTTCACAACTCCACATCCACTTTTTTTTTTTTTAAAGATTTTATTTATTTATTTGACGGAGACAAAGTGAGAGAGGGAATACAAGCAAGGGGACTGGTAGAGGGAGAAGCAGGCTTCCTGTGGAGCAGGGAGCCCGACGTGGGGCTCGATCCCAGGACCCTGGGATCATGACCTGAGCTGAATGCAGACGCTTAACAACTGAGCCACCCAGGCACCCCTCACATCCACTTTTCTTGACTTTAGATTTTTTCTTTATGACTGTGTAGCTTCCGCTGAAGAGGGATGCAAGTCAGGGAAAGAGATCACAAAAATTAGTTTCTCCTTTAAGGACAGCACACAGCTTCTGGACTAGTGATTCTCAGACCTGAATGTACATTAGAATCACCTGGGAGGCTCTTAAAACTGTCAAGGCCTAGGTCACATCCCAGACCAACGAAATCAGAATCTCTGGCCTTATTTTTTAAGGCTTATCTTTTAAGCCTTATTTTTTAAGGCTTCCCAGCTGATATCAAGGTGCAGCCAAGGTTGAAAACAATTGTTCTAACCATATAGTCACTTGCCATCAAAACTAAAGGGTAGAAAAAAAAGTTTTGAGGCAACTTCTCTTTCCCAACGTTGTTATAATCATTGTTGAGATAACTCATAATTTTCTTGAAGAAGGTAAGAATTCTTCTAGTCCTAATAGATATCTTTATTTTTCTAGTACAGATGATACTTTTATTTTCTAACATTTCAGATTGTTCAGGTAATCATGATATAAAATAATGGTTGTTGTGAAAAGTAATCTTGTGTTTTTTTTTGTTTTGTTTTGTTTTGTTTTTTTAAGAAAGGGAGAGAGAGAATCTTAAGCAGGCTGCATGCCCAACGCCACCCTGAGGGGCTCAGTCTCACAACCCTGAGATCATGACCTGATCAGAAATCAAGAGTTGGATGCTTAACTGACCCAGCCACTCAGGTGCCCCGAAGAGTAATCATGTTTTAAAAATGGAATCAACTGATATAAAAGATTTAGCAATAAACTTTCTGAGCTTGTAAAAGATTTAACTTGGTGTAAAATGAATACTTGATCATTTTCCTACTGTATAAATTCTGATTTCTTACAGTTGAATTTCCTAAGACCTCAATTTTTTTTGATTTGATAACTTTTATTTCCTACTTTTTAAAATTAGTGATTCTTTGAACCGTTTTATAGTTTTTTGTTTGTTTTTCTATAGAGGACAATTTAAAAGGTATAAAGTGTCAAAGATGACAAGCCTGTCATGCTCCTAGCTCTTTCTGCCATTTGACCACTTGAGTCTGATATACGCTGTTATTACTATGGAATCTTGACAGGTGTTCAACGTTCAGCACTAAAGTAAATGGAATCATTTCTCTATTACCAGTTATAATTTTCATCATGCACTTCTAGTCTAGAAGTCTGTTATACTGTGTTCTGCCACACGTGCAAGATTAAAAGCTTTATTCAAAACCTGAAGATCTCTTAAATTACTTTGAGATACAAATTAGTGGTAGTTCAGGTAGCAAAAAATATACACCTTCCTATCATTTTCTTTGCAGTAAAGGACAACACCCGACTCACATATCAAAAGTGGATGAACTGATGATTTTGACTTTTTGAAGGCCATATTATTCTATGCTCCGCAGTACTCTTTTTGGATTTAACACTAGAAAAAGCACTTCAGTTTAAGTGCTTTATTTTTACATACTACTTTTATACAAGTCCTCCAGTATTACTGAGGTTAAAATGACTCATCATTTAAGTTTAAAAAGTTACCTCAATGTTCCTCTGAGTTGTCCATAGTTTATAATGATTTCTGCACCTTCCTTATAACCTTGATTGAAGCCTTGTTGAAGAGTAACTGCTTTGCCGGCATCTATTCCATCTCTATAACCTTCCTAAAAATAAGTAATGAAGAACTGCAGCTGTAATTAACACCAAGTAAACCACTGTAGGTTTTAAGTTATAGAACCAGTTTGGAAAATTGATGAGATGGGCCTTTAACTAAATTACTATTTACTATTTAACATAATGGTTCTACAACAAATGGCATAGCCACACAACGGAAGCAGACTACGCTTCTCATAAAGGTTTATTATTGGCACAATCCCACTTTTGAAGTCGACTTATTTGGCACATTTAAAAATACTGATTCTTATACAGTTTTTAAAAATCCTGTGTTAACACCACCTTCACAGAAAGGAAACACAGAGAGTTACATGTCTGGCCCCTTGGCAACACTGGTGTGAGTGGGTGAGAAGGCAGGGTAATAAATAGGTTATTGGAGGTCTTCAATAATCAACTCAAGTCGGGAAGGAGGAAACTGTGTTAGGAAAAAGATGAAAAGTGTGATTTTAGACATTTTGCTTGATAACTAAATTCAAATGAACTGTAAATTCTCTGCGGGCAGGGATTTTGTCCTGCATCTGCGATGGTGCCACAGAAGCCGAAGATGATTACTAACCTGTCTAGGCCCCGCCTCACATGAAGCGTTTCTGAAACTGATAACACGGTCTTTGGGCTAAGCAAACATTTTACTGAAACAAACAAGGGCAGATCAAGCGCAACATAATGAACGGCAAGGATATTAGGTGGAAGTGGACCTCACCAGGTGAACTCAGCTCTGAGTGTTCCAACTGGAAACTGAGTGTGTGGTATTAAGCTTAGTTTCGGTGAATAGTGAGACAAAGTAGATATGGGTACTTCACACCGAACAAAGACACCAACTTTGGTATTCCTTCACTTAGCCACGGTATTCCACAGTAGCTTTCCTTTATTGCTCTTCGACATTCCTAAATTCACTTTTTCCGTATGTCTCGATTAGTACCACTCCTAACTTTAGGCTCTTCACCCACTCAAGCAACCACATGTCCTTTGACACCCCTAATTGGTATAGTCAGTGTCTATGTTTCTCCCCCACCTTCTCTGTGGTCCTCATCAAACTGCAATCTCTTCAAAGTCAGACCCACCTTATTCTGGTCTGTGCCCTGCGTCTAACGCGCCGCCCCGTGGTTCCTTCACACGCTTCCAAGTGGAAAATCCTAGCAGGATCTAGGTGGCAGGGGTAGGGAGGGCGGCGCCGGGCCAGGCTGGGACCACGCGGGCCTCTACTCTCGCGACCCTGACTCCTGACAGCTCCTTGCCCCTGTGCCCGCAACCCGGCATATCTACCCCGCACCCGCCGCGCAGCTTTACTTTGACTCGTCTCTGCATGTGGCTCCGCCATTCCCGCTGCACCAGGAGCGACTCGTCCGCTTCCTCGTCAAACACGTCCCCCTCCTCTCCGGGACCCCGGACCAAGGGAGCCCTTTGAACCCACGACATCACAGAGGCAACCCCAGGCCTGCTAGGCGCCGGAAGCGTCGGCAATTTCTTCCGGTCCGAGGGGCGGGGCGAAGGCTGCGAGGCGGACGCGCCCGGAGGCTGCCGCTGCCCCTTCGTGTGTGGTGTCGGGTGTTGGTGGGTGAGTCTCCGCTGAGGACTGCGCTTCTTCCTCCCTGGTGGTTGGGGCTCCTTCCGTGGACCCAAAGTGTCGGCGAGCGCCTGTTGTGGGCGAGACGGCTTCCTTCCTCGCGGGGCCCGTCCGACCTTGACCTATTCGGAGGGCAGCCGGGACGCTCAGTGAAACCCTTGGCATTCCGGCCGCGGTCTCTAGAGTGTTGTGGGTTTTGGAGCCCCGCGCCCTGGGAAAACCGTTCGAGGTCGTTCGGTGGATGGGCGATTACTGGCCAAGGTCGCTGTCTCTTTTAGAAGCCCCCTCAGTACGTCTTAGGGATTTGATAGCCGGTGGTGTTTAGTTGTTAGAAGCAAAGGACGACAATAGAGTCGAAAAGGTAGCCACTGCGGCCATTTTGAGATCAATACATACAAAAAGTACGTTTATGAAAGGAATACATTTCTTGTTGATTCACGGTATCCTTCACTGGCTCCCGTTCCTTCTCAGATGCCCTATTGGCTGCGTGAGGACGGGGACTTGTTTATCTACATGTACTTAGCACCAGCATGATTCTGACACGTGGCAGATGTTGAAACGGATGTTAGTGAATTGAATGGACACCGGTAGTATTGCTGTTTTGCTTTTTGTGTGGTCATGTGGTAATGATGATTTATTTATTTAATGTATTTTCTGGTGCCAGGCACCGTTGTAGCTTTTCGGATACATCAATGAACCGCAGACAAAACTTAGCAGTTCTCCTGCGCTTTACATTCATGTGGAATTGACGGGATGAACAATAAGCACTGTATAAGTAAATTACATTGTTACAAGATCATAAAGGATACATGCTATGAAAAAAAAGATAAGCGAAGTAAGGGCTACCATGAGCATGCGTGTGAGGGTGGATGGGTGGTTTACGTGATAATTTTAAATGCTCAGAATTTTGCATCATATATATAGTAATTACAACATATATACTACAAACCTAGTATGTGTATATATATAGTATATACATAAATACATATATATTACATATATATTATATACGTATATATAATTTACTTGGTAGGTCCATGGAATATGTATAAAAACACTCTATACTTGGCCACATAAAATACCTTAAAAACCCAGACATTTTATAAGTCATATTCTCTGATCATAATCCAACAAAATTAGTAATAAATAATAATAAAAGACTCCAGTAATTTAAACTATTACACTGGGCTTTAGAATTACCTTATTTCCTTTGGATCAAAAAGGAAATAAAAATTAAAATGACACACAATAAGCAATTAAAATCTGAACACTTCCTACCAGAAAACATGGGACCAAATGAAAGTTGTACTGAGGCAATTCTATAGGCTTAAATGTCTTTATAATTAAAGAAAAAGACACATACTTACTGTATATCTTAATTAGCAACAAAATGATAGTAAGAGAGGCAATGAAAATATCAATTGAAATTAATAAAATAGAAAATTCCCAAACGTACATAAATAAATCCTAAAGCTGGTTCTTTGAAGAGACCGATAAGATAGATGATTTTTTTTTTTTTTTTTTAAGTAAGCTCTACACTCAGTGTGGGGCTTGAACTCTCTACCCTGAGATCAGGAGTAGCCAGCCAGGTATTTGTGTATGTGTGTGTGTGTGTGTGTGTGTGTGTGTGTGTGTTTATTTTTTAAATAGTTGGGCCTCAAATTCCTGACTTTGAGATTAGGAGTCACATGTTCTACCAACTGAGGCAGCCAGGTGCCCTAGATAATCCTCTTTTGACCTCGACTTAAAAAAAACAACAACAAAATTATACGAGGTAGAAATGAGAAAGGAGGAAATGATACAGAAATTCAAGTACTATACTAACTAAAACTCAAGAACGACACATTTGAAAACCTAGGAGATGTGAATTACTTTCTAATAAAACTGACCCAATAAGTAGAAAACACGAAGAGACTAATTACCCTAGAAAAACTGGAAATTAAATATCCATTATAAAAAATAGCACGAAGACTTGACACATAGGTAAATCCTTTAAATCCTTTTTAATCTTTAAAGAACAATGGATGGGACTCCTGGATGGCTCAGTTGGTTAAGCATCTGACTTTGGCTCAGGTTATGACCTCAGGGTTGTGAGATGGAGCCCCAAGATGGGCTCCACACTCATTGGGGAGTCCGCTTGAGATTCGCTCTCCCTCTGCCCCTCCCTCCCTCGCTCTCTCTCATTCTCTCTCTTTCACATAAATAAATCTTCAAAGAAAATGCATAATTAAATATTTTTTACTCTTTTAGGGCAAAGAAAAAGAAACTCCCTAAATCATTTTATGAAGCCAGCCTTATAGTAACCTGATAAAGATAGTATAAAAAAATTCCCAAGTTCAAGTTAGCTTATGAATATGTATTTAAAAGAGAATCCAGTACCATATCAAAAGTAATTCAAGATGTTTTATTCAAGGGAAGCAAACTGTTGCAATATTAGGAAATCTATAAGCATATTTCATTGGAATCAGTTTAAAGGAGAAAAGCCGTATGTTATCTAAGCTGCAAAGTCATTTGAAAAAATTTAACAAAATAAAATGAAATGGAAAGAAACTACAAATTGATAAACCCTTTATGAAAAATCCAACTGCAGGTAGTAGTCTGAACACTCAGTTACTTCCTTGAAGGTAGAGAAAAGGCCATCTGGTGATGCCCTTTATTATTCAACATTCTTTTGAAGACTAGAAAATGTAATAAGAGAGGTAAACAAAGTAATCTATAAAATGTTGGATAATAAGAGATGAAGTTATTTCTTTTTGCTGTTTATATGATTATATGCCTACAAAACCCAAAGGAATTCTGTTAAAAACAACAGAATAAGGGAATTTGATAAGGCTGCTGGCTGTAAGAAAAATAAACAGACCAACAGCCTCTTTACTTTCTAGCAATAACCATATAAATGTAAATGAGATAAATATTCTACTTGCAATACCAACAGATTCTATTAGATATAGTATTTATATATTTGTTTAGTATTTATTTAGTATAGTATTTATACATGCCGGGAATACATTTAAAAAAATCAATTTTATTGAGGTATAATTTACTTGTAATATGCATACATTCTGCCTGTAGAGTTTGATGAGTTTTGACAAATATATACCCCTGTGTAACCCCCACTGAATCAAGGTGTCGAAATTTCCATCACCCTGGGAAATTTCCTTGTACTTCTTTGCAGTCAGTCCCTCACTCCTTGAGGCAACCTCTGATTCAATTTCTATCACCCAAGATTAGTTTTGCCAGTGTTAGAACCTCATAGAAATGAAATCATATATGTCCTTTTAAGTATTTGGCTTCTTGGACGCAGAAGCCACTTTGATTCAGTGTTTTCGAGATTCATTCATGTGGTTGCATGTACCAGTACATTGTTCTTTTTAAGTGCTAAGTACTCTTTTCATGGAATGGATATACTGTAATTTATTCACTCATTTATTGTTTGGATTATTGCCAGTTTTTGGCTATTATCAATAAAGCTGCTGTGAACATTTTTGTACAAGGTGTTTTGTGTACAAGGTTTCATTTCTCTGGAGTAAATGTCTAGAAGTGTAAATGTTGAGTCATATGGTAAATACAAATTTAACTTTATAAGAAACTCCCAAACTGGTTTCCAAAATGATTGTACCATTTTACACGCCCACCAGCAATGTATGCAAATGTAAGTTGCCACACATCCTCTTTCTCACTTGGAATTGTCAGTCTTTTCAATATTAGCTATTCTGATCGGTGTGTCATGGTATCTGACTGTGATTTTACTTTTCATTTTTCACCGGGCTTATGATACAGAACATCTTTTCCTGTGCTTGTTTGCCATTTGCATACCTTTTTAAATGAAGTCTTTGTCCATCTAAAAAAAAAAAAATTGGGTTGTCTTACTGTATTTCAAAGATCCTTTGTAGAGTCTGTCTTTTGTCAGATACGAGAATTGTGAATATGTTCTTTGCATTAGTTGTATCCATCAGGAGACAGCCGTGGAGGTAGACTTAGGAGTTCATGAAATTTCCTGGGGGACTGGGGACATAATGCCCGTGAAAGGTAAAAAGCCGAGCAGGCATGATTAGGTGGGGAAAGCCTATGCAAAGGAATGCTGATCTGATTCCTGTGATAGGAAGTGTGAGATAGGTAGACCTCACAGAGTCCTGGACAACATGAAAGGGAGCTCAGGAGCCGAGGGCAAAGAGGAGGCTTTTGTTAGGTGCACAGAGCCAGACTGTGGTGGCCCTGCCGTGCTCAGTTATTGGCTGGGCGATGCCCTGGGAGAGTGTGACCTTGGCTAGAAGTCCGAGACAGATGCTGCAGGTGCTAACGGCTGGAGGCTGACAGCTATACTCCTTTGTCAAGAACTAGATGATTTTTCAAGGTCCTTTCAAGTGTGTGATTCATTTTTTTTTTTCCAAAATAGCTATCCTTTTACTTTTTTTTTTTAATGAACTGTAAATAACAATGACATCTCCTGCATAAATTTTGGTGTCATGATGTGAATTTACTCAAAGTATTTAGCAAACTTATCTTGCAGCTCCATATCTCTTATATAAATACTCTGTGATGAGGTCAACCTTTAGGACTCACTCTGTCCTTTCCCTGTTCTTCCGCTTATCGTTCATCTTTGTCTTTTCTTTCAAAGCCTTCAACAATTCTTTTTTATGTCCTTCTATTCCCCATCTCTTGCTGAGTTTCATCCTTTATTTCAGTCTTCCACACTTTATTTGTGCCTTTGCAAATTGCTATTTTGTAATTAGTGTAATAAACTCTAAGAGAGCACAGACCTTTCCTTGGTTTCGGTTCCGAGTTTCTGGCGGCCAGCCAGCAGAACTCCTAATTTCCATATGCCTAGTGAAGTAGTTGTCCACTTTTCCTTGTCCTTTCTAAACTTTCATATGTTCTACGATTCTCAGTGGTATTCAGTGATTAAGTCCTTGGGTGCCGTCTTTTTTTTTTGGAGCTTGAACCCATGACCCTGAGATCAAGACCTAAGCTGAGATCAAGAGTTGGATGCT